GGGGGGGGGCGAACATGGGTAATTAGGGGCCCAACAAGGGTAATGAAGTGGCCGAAATGGGTAATAAAAGGGCCTCAATGAATAATTAGGGCCATGGTCGGTAATTGGGAGCAACACGGGTAGGGAAGGGATAAAATCGAGTAATTAAGGGGCCAACATGTGTAATTAAGGGGTCCATATGGATTATTAGGGGGCCAATATTGCAAAGTCGACTCCAAATAGTAGGACGCTGACTCCAACTAATGAAGAGTTAATTTTCACATTCTCCTGCTACGACCCCCAACCCCCAAGCACCGTGCCTGGTCACGTGATATTTGGCTCAGTGGTGAATCTCTCTCAGACATACATTGCTGGGAAATTTCTTTTTTTTCTCTCCATGAGGACATTAAAATAGCTATCCTTATTGACATAACACGCTGAGTTGGTCCTGGCAATCATCTGATTGTTTATAGTAAATTGCCGGAATGTCTGGTTTGGCTGTCACACAATTTGGAAATGTTAAGTGTGCACATTTTTGGAGTGCAACAACGGTTCTTGAAATGAAATTGTCCGATGAGCTATTTACCTTACAAATGTGTATTGTGGGGGGACCCGTAATTCGGTCAACTATAAAATATATAAATTTACTTTCATCGATTCACCTAATTTTGTTGAAGATTTTTAAAAATAGTTTTCATAGACTCAAATTATTTTATGCAAACCTTGCTTTAGAACCACCAAGATACAAAGAGTAACCTACTTTTGAAACAATGTGTGCTTCGAGTAAACTCTTCTTTTGAGATGTTAAAATGGTAGTAGTATGCCATGAAAAGTGTTTGAGCTGTCACATGGTCTTTATTGAAACGCCTTACAGAACAAAATCTTTGTATTTCTTCAGTGGGGCGAAAGTTCACCAGAAAGTGTGTTTGACACAACGTCATCTGATATTAAGTGTGGCTGAATAGGAGGGCGTCGGTCGCACTTCTGCCATCAAATGTACCGATGTTGAGAACCGAAAACAAGAAAAGAAAATCCGACCGTTGTAGTTCGCTTATGTTGATACAACACATTTTATAACGAATGTCTCACTCATCCACTACGAAACAACTGTCTTGAATTCTAGCTTTCTCTCAACACCTCCCACCGAACACTCCTTTGAATCTATGACTGCACCACCAAATCAAACCATAATTCTGACCCCAAACCATCCTATAGTCCCACACTAAAATCATCCCAATCCCTCTATAAAACCATCCCAATCCCCCCATAAAATCATCCCAATCCCTCCATAAAATCATCCCAATCCCTCCATAAAACCATCCCAATCCCTCTATAAAATCATCCCAATCCCTCCATAAAACCATCCCAATCCCTCCATAACCCACCATAATCCCTCCATAAAACCATCCCAATCCCTCCATAAAACATCCCAAACCCTTTATAAAACCACACTAATCCCTCCATAAAACCATCCCAATCCCTCCATAAAACCACACTAATCCCTCCATAAAACATCCCAAACCCTTTATAAAACCACACTAATCCCTCCATAAAACCATCACAATCCCTTTATAAAACCATCCCAATCCCTCCATAAAACAATCCCAATCCCTTTATAAAACCACACTAATCCCTCCATAAAACCACCCCAATCCCTCCATAAAACCATCCCAATCCCTTTATAAAACCACACTAATCCCTCCATAAAACATCCCAAACCCTTTATAAAACCACACTAATCCCTCCATAAAACATCCCAAACCCTTTATAAAACCACACTAATCCCTCCATAAAACCATCCCAATCCCTTCATAAAACAATCCCAATCCCTTTATAAAACCACACTAATCCCTCCATAAAATCATCCCAATCCCTTTATAAAACCATCCCAATGCCTCCATAAAACCACCCTAATCCGACCGTAAACTTATTTATAAGACATTATCTCTATATTCAACCGTTCCATTTATCCTTACTTATCATCTGTCATATAAAAGAGCAAGTGTCATTCTCACGTCTGGTGGCTCACTAAAAGTGCAAATGACATTCTCAAGCGTCTCAATGAATAGCTGATTCAAAACTCTCCCACTTCGAAACAGGGCCAACTCCACTGTAGACAATCATGCCGTGTCGCTCTTTTTTCGCCCCTGAATTTTAGTACGGCGTGATATTCTCGCCCTCCCCCCTCCCCTCACCCCCACCAGCACACACAACACTTTTCAGTGCCATCGAAGCACAAAACCTATCATATAAAATATCCACTTACTGTAGACACCACACTCCTGTTAATAATTCAAGCCACTTTATAAAATCATTTTCTATCATTTTTATTTTACATTCGAAAGCAAATAATTTTAAAATCACTAATTAATTTATTTAATGTTAAAGCCCAGAGTTTCCAAAAATTTTAAGTCTCTCGGACTGTAACTTAAGTCTCGTGGACCGGCAACTTAAGTCTCGCGGACCGGCAACTTTAATCTCGCGGACCGGAAACTTAAGTCTCGCGGACCGGCAACTTAAGTCTCGCGGACCGGCAACTTAAGTCTCGCGGACCGCTGCACACGTTTAGAAATTGCACCAGAGACCTGGTGCCAGATTTTATTCATTATTTTTTCTTTGCATACGACCATATATATTCCTATGTTGTGCGGACCGGCAACTTAAGTCTCGCGGACCGGCATCGGTTCACGGACCACCATTTGGGGGTGGGGGG